CGCTTCGCTGCCCCGGGAGGTTCAGAGACCGAGAGGTTGTGAACGGCGAACTGGACCGACGATTCATCTCCAAGCTGGGGAGGAAATAGAAGAATCGCTCACATCGAGGAATGCCGGGACATACTCGCGATCAGCCTTACGACCAAGCTCGAGATGACAGTGCGAGTTCCAAATATGATGTCCCCAACCACATCCCCGCGAACTGATGGATCTTATCTCTTCATTGTGTATGTTCGCTCAGTAGGGCTGAGGGAGCTAGTTGCACAACACTTCTTGTAAGACAGAATTATCTATGAGAGAAATGATGCTGGTCAATAGATAGTCCTTCGGCGCTCAGACACTGTTTTCTTCCCACCAAAGATGAGGCGCCGCTCGCTCGACAGAGAGCTCCTCACGGGATGCAACCATGACCGATTCATTTGAGGAGCTCGTCGAGAAAATCACCCGGAAATGCCTCGGGGTACCTGCACACAATATCGTATTTTTCAAGCTAATGGAATTTTCCGTGATTCCAAGAGTCCGTGCGGCATTTCCCCTTTTGTGAATCGTGCGAGCGTAACGACCTATCGGTTCGCCGGCCTGCGGGGAAGCTAGCCGACTGACCGAGTGGGAATGCCGATTGCGACAACGAACGTCACTCGATTGTCGCAATGTGACTACCGATTATCTTGACGTGACGGTCTCTCCGACAAGCGACCGAATGAGTCTAATTAAACCTTCGCGGCCCGGAACGACTCGAGCCTGCGATACGCGCGGCATGGGACGGGTCGGTATACGATGACAGAGATAATGGATTGATTGATTAATTGATTGATTGATCCATTGGTTGACTGAAAGATTGATAGGCCGACACGCGCCAACTCTAGGAGCGCCCAGCGAAGTGAGATTGCCATTTTTTCCCTATCGCCTTGATCTAAGGATCTCGGTCAGACGTGATTCGATCGGCTCAATTTGCGCTCGCTCCTATCCGAACGCTCCGGAGCGTCAAGCTCGAATCACCCTAACAACACGCCTCACAGGGCTCTGGAGGTGAAACGAAATTATGAATTGATGAGCGAGGAGGCGACGCGCGAGCGCCTTGAAAAGCCTTATTCTCCCGCATAATTCCTCGACCATTGACCTGAATGACGCGCTACTGTACTACACATTCATAGACTCTCTGACGCAATTTCTCAATCGCAGTCAGTGTCGGGAATGTTCATTCAGTAAACGGATGCTCCGAGAGCCCATTCCCGTGGAACTCGATCGAAATGTCACCAGGAGGAGAGTTCGCGAATTATAAGCCACAGCCTTCACCTTGGCACTGTAAACAACTCGAAATAGCCCCTCCAAGGGCTTTCCGGAGCCGGAAAGCGCAACTCAGAGATATTTCTGCCTTGGTCAGCCTCCTCATCCATTGATTTTGGTTTTTTTTTGCGCCCAGATTCTCCTTCGAGCCAGATTCAAGGCAGCTAGTTCTCCGAACGATGGAGGTCACTGAGAATTCCAATCCGGCGCATAACAGAGTTGGTGAGTCAGTTATGTTTTTTTTCTCTGGTCATGCAGCCTGGTGACAACTTTGAATTGCAAAAGCGGCCTTGGCCTACGGGAATACCAAGCTGCGCTACAACCAGACCTCCTGGTAAGTATAACATTAAAAGCTTTGACAGAGTCGGCGACGAGACGACGTTTGTGCTTCGGGTGAAAATTGAGCGTAAGGCCGCTCGCCAACCCGTTCGGATTCTTTTCAGGCGGAAGACCCGAGATTTCCGACGGGGATCAAAAGAGAAACACGGAATTATTTCTCTGCGAAACCGAGCTCATTACGAATCTCGAATTCAGTCGCAGCCCCACATCAGTTTCGCCAGCGCCTACAACGAAAGCGATAATGAGTTCTTGATGTTATACAGCGGCGAAATGAGCTCTGGGACGAGTGTTCATTCTGGCTGGCATCGAGATGAAAGTCATGAAGTGGAAGAAACGAAATAATTCTTTTCGCGGGCGATTTCCGCGATTTCCTCATCACGAGACCAACGAATGAAATACAAACTTAGCGCGATATCTCATACACTCGGGGCCTTGACCCGTATTCCCGTCGTTTGCTCCGAGCTTGGTTCACAAAGCAGACGGGCGTGAGACTGTTGTTCGTCGGGCTAAAAATAATTGTTGCACCTCGCGTACCGGAACGTCGATCTGGAGTCCTCCTCCGTTTCGTGTGAGCGGATTTGAATTTACTTTAGACCCGTGTGTTTACGAAGGACAGCACATTTACGAACGGACTTCCAGCCGAGAAGCTGGATCTCTTGCCTTTCCGTTTTAATGACCGACCTAGGCGCGATAAAGCAACGATGGGCTTCCCGCTAAAATTCTGATACAAGTGGACCTCTTGAGATCCTTAGCCGAATCGATTTCGCAGAAGATCCTGCTGCGCTGCGTGTCTTGGCTGTGATTTACCGCCAACCCTGGAGGATACGGGCGGTCGCCGAAGTCGTCCTCCGCTCGCTCAGGATAATAATCGATAGCAGCGGCGCGTAAAGGAGAGTTTTCAAACGCCGACAAGAGTTTTCAGACCCCGAGAAGAGTGCTCAAACCCCGACCGTATGAGAGAGCCGATGGTGGAAGCAACGGGCCAGGAATGCAGGGAGACTGACCAAGGCTAGAAAACAGAGTCGTTCCGCGATGTTTTAAAGGGCCCTACCGTGCGACACGACACCAATGAACCCGGTTCACGGAGTAAACACTGAGATCTCTGCTCGCTGCTTTAGAGGAAAGCTCTGACTGTTTCAGATTGAGAGCTCGACAGACTGGCGGGAGTGTCTCTCCTCCGGGAAGAGTGATGCAATGATCAAGGAACCCCGAAATATAGCGACAAGTCCGGTGGAATCGGTTGGAGTGAGGGCGTCGCTCCTGAATAAACGGAAGCCGATCCTTGTCGCACAACTCGTGACCTTCTAGCAGCGAGGACCACGATTTCGTGTGAGGCGCTCGTTCGAACAGAGTATCGGGAGAATGAGATGGCGGAAATTTTTATACTCGGTGTTTGTGTCATGCATTCGAAACACGATGATGTGTCGTTCCGCATCCCGAACGTCGTCTGATGGTTTGTGCTTTCTCTGAATGTATGATTGCCGGTGTCTGTCTATGCCGATTCATCTCGTTCGTCTACTCGATAACCAATGGAACGCTCACCGAATATTCGCCGACCGCGTCGACGTCGCCTAGAATGGCAAACGACCATGAGGGGGGCCAGATTGATGATAATAATGATTATAATATAATAACGATAATGATCGTCTTCAATGAAAAGGATAACTGTCTTCCCCTTCACATTTCCCCCTTGCTTCAGAAGCGACGTGGACTGTGAGGCGGTACGGACGAGAACGGGAGTTCGCGAACACTCGTTGATTTGAAAGGGCTCGTTATGCTCCCGTAAAGTCGTTTCTGAATCCGTATGGAGTTTCTCATCTGACTCTAATTCCAAGCCATGACGTCAACCCAAAACGCACTCTAGAGCTGTCTTTCAACGTCTCTCGCTAGGTGACTTCCCCGGATCTACCAGGAGCGCCCAAGCAGTCTGAGCCTCCCTTTTTATCCTCCGAATAAAGTACCGGGCGGCACGTGAGGAATGAGAGGGCGCGCATCGTATTGGAACATTGGGTCACTTGAAAAAAATCCATTCCCGGAATACTGATCCAGTAAAGTTTAACAAACAGCTTAGAGTTCTCGCCTCCGAATCGGGATTCCTCGAGAACGGTCCTAAACCAACGAAAGCATACCTAGAACCTGAACCGTTCGGAAATCTTCGTCGAGGACTGCAGTCGAAGTGTCCTCCGAAGAAATTCAGAGCAGCTCTTCCCTGAGACTCACGTGCAGGACGATTTTTAATCCGATCGATCCACAGCCCGCACTCGAAGGTAAGTTCTTCCCGTGAGGAGTCACTTCACACTTCGAGCTCGTCAGAGCCACTGAATCACCCGGGAACAATAACCGTGATTTTCGAGTGCACATTGGCTCCCGACGGAACGTTGGTCGTTCGCGAGAGGCTTTCGAAGAAGTCTCGATCAGACGCGACCGAGCGCGAAGCGAAATGATGAGACGCGAGTCTAGAGGCTGCTTCAGTCGAACCGAAAAACGTAGAAAGCTAGAGAAAACATTCTGAAGTTCCGCGCGGAGTCCGGAACTGAGTACAGGCCACACTAATGTTACCAACATAGCAGGCTTTGGCGAAGATTCTCAATAGGGAGAGACCACGTGTGTGTTTTGGCGAGGGTAAGCATCGAGGGAGAGAACGCCGGCAGAGTTCCGAGTTTATATTGCTTCAAACTATTGTAGTGGTGTCAATGGCTGCTGAAGTTGCTACACAGGATCTCTGTCATCGGCGCCGTTGCCGAGCTCACGATCAACGGAAAAGCATTAGCTTTCCGGCGGGACGGGATGTAAAGCCCGGTAGTGGTCTCGACCCCGGTGTAAGCTCCTGCCGGCGACTGAACGCTGTTGACAACAATTCGAAAAACATACATACCTGCGCCAGCGAAGGCATCGTAGGAGAGACTGCGCAGTCGAATGAGTAGGAGCTCCCTCTCACCGACTGAGTCTACACAATGCGTTCGTTGTTACGTTGTAAAGATACGCGTCAAAGTCTCCTCTCTTCTTCGCAAAGTGATTCGATCCCCTCTGCTCTGTTTTGACTAACGCTGAGACCAGATTTCCTGCGAGGATAGCCGCTCCTGACTGACGGATACGGGTTCCGAGACAACAATGGGTCCGACGGTCGGGTTTGCTCGGAGACTTTGCCCTCAGACGGACAGTTTTTTTTCCCTTCGAAAAGTGCGATTTAAGACCCAATACCAGCCGCTTGACTCCGAACGCATAGGTACTCACAACCGAACCCTTGATAAATACTCAAGTTCAGGGGATTCCACGCCAGCTATTGGTATGGGGGAGCGCAATCAGAGACAGGAAACTGCTCGCAGTCGATTCATTTCTCCATTTTTATTAACAAAATTATCTCGTCAGCTTGCCGACCTCTGTCCGGCTAGAGAACCGGCAAGCATCTGGCATTGAACTATGTTATTGTATTATCTGCCTCGTGATGAGTCGGACCGAATTCACCAATCACGACGGGAAATCCGACAGAATTTTGCGACGATTGCTGCTCCTGCGGCGGGTGCCCACTTTGCTTAACGGTTGTTGATACTTCCTCCAGAGGGGAAAACTCAAAACTTTATCAAGAACAAGTCGTATCATACATCGCGCAACGTAGCAAATCAGAAGTGTTTCCCCTTCGAGCCGCTGAATCCCAGGGCAGGAGGGGAGGGAAGAGAGTTAAGGAGAGGGGGTTGGGGTATTGTCAGTCCATCAGTCCGGGTCAGCCGATTGAAAAACGGAAATAGGAACCGGCCGAGAAGCTCCGATCCGAGGGCGTCTCCGCCATGCTTGACGGAGAATTGTTCTCGGCGAGTGACTCTACAGCTGCTACCGCAGCTACTGGACAAAGTTTCTGTACACAAATAGATCAACATTCGACGGAACAATTAGCAAACGTTTACAAATACATTCCGTTTACGAGATAGTCTTCGTCGTCTTCCGGAGCCAGGAGGCTGAGACCTTTTTTACTTCCTCCACGCCATCGGAGAAGTTTACGCCTCATGTTCAATCGGCATCCGATCACAAGGAGGAAAAGAGCGCTCATCGAGATGCCCAGGGCTAAGCCGACTACAGCGCCGGAGGTACTCGAAGATACGCCCTTGGTTTCGACCTGGGTGACTGAGATGTGCATGTTCGCGATTTGTTTCTCAGGAGGGTTCGGTTCGGGTTTTCTCGTGGCTGGAGGGGAACTCGCCTGAACCGGGCTCGACGTCGAACTGATTTTCGTAGCGGTCGATTGCGGCGGTGGCGGCGGCTGCTGCTGCGATATCTGTGGCTGTTGCGGTGCTTGCGGTGGCGGCGGAGGGGGTTGTTCGTCCATAAAGTTACCTGGCCGACGTCTGGGTTTCGGTTCGTAACTCCCGATATTCTGGGGTGTATCGAGCTTCGATGGCTCCGCCGGTATCGATGCCAATGTGTCCCTGCAAGGGCGATGTCGTTCAGAGAATTCGACTCGAATAATAATTATTGCAAGGAATGAAAATTTTCTCTGATCCCGTTTTCGCAATTATCGGACCAACGTCCATCTTCACTCACCGAGACTTAGCGAGTTGCAATTGCTTTTCAGATTCAAGTCCCTGGGGGTACATGTGGCCGCTCGGGGAGTATCTCGGCTTCCCGAAAGTGATCTTGTCCTGAGAAACAGCGTCCGGACGACGGTCCAGAAGATTTCTGACGTTCTGCTCTCGACTGTATGCTGGGACATAGTTGCTCTGGAAGTCCTGGCCTGCGTCGAAGTTGTTCCGTTGCAAACCGTTGGAGCTCGCATAATAGCCGGTCCCGTAAGGCTGACTTTCTTCGTACCTGGGAAAATTATTTCCTTGATACTGTGCTCGCGGTGTCTGCCTTTCTCGAGAATCCTCTGAAGAATCTCGGAGCTCTCAGAGAGAGCTTCCTGATGGAGTTTCGAGGATTATCCCTCCACTTGCCAATCAGCGACTCTCACCTGGACTGGTATTCGTTCTGTTGCGGATAAATGCCGGAGGGCTGTTGTGGATAACGTCTCCCCGAAGCGTAGGAATCAGCGTAATCATTGGAAAGCTGCTGCTGGTTCCGATAGATATCGTTCCTGAACTGCGGGTATTCCCGCGACCGGGTTTCTTCGTAGACTCCCGGTCGACGGAAAACAGAATCCTCTTTCTCCTGGAGTTTTTCCTATCGGTGAAAATGAATCGAGCGTTCCGAATATTAGATATTGATACAAGTATTTCTCTATCCTAAGCCTCGCTCCGTATATGATCTGTGCACGTTCTCAATCGCTGAAGTGCTGAGTCCCTCCTGAAGGCGATACGCACCTGTATGACGGGCCGAATTATGTCGTAGACAAGTTGATCCCCGATGTCGACCTGTTTCGCCATCTGTCTGCCGTCGCGAGCGTGACAGTCGAGAGTTTCTGCCTCATCACTCCCATCGGAGCACTGGGGGATTCCGTTGCAAACGTCGTAGATCGCGATACACTCGGAGCTATTTGCGCACTTGAACTGATGCTCGTCGCAATGAGCTTCTGGAATAAGAAAAATGGGCACATATCAGTCAGACTGTCGGAGCTTCTGACGTCAGCAGTTCGACGGGAGAAGCATCGATGTTGACGTCTTTCGCGGATGTTGACCACGTTCATGATTATCCCCGTGATCAAATCATCTATTTTCCTCTCAGCCTTGCGTTTCCTCGGGAGCCGACGACGCGGCGCTTGAACTCCCGAGTCCCGAGCTTTTGAGCTCGTGCTCCCGACAACGCCACTGTTGTCGGGTTAACCTAGACCTATGTGCCTTCTTTTCACCCCTCTGATCATTCGGCTCCTCGTCGATTGCGATGGTTCAGGCGTACATCGCTCGATTCAGTTGACCTTTCAGACGATCCGAAACGTCGAGAAGGGCCAATCGACGTTCGCGAAAGGAAAGCGGCCATTCCGGTTCCGAGTTCGCTCAGAGGGAACGCCTGAGTGAGAGAGACTTGTGTCGCGGTCAGCCGTCACAGTCCCTTCATACGATAAACTACCAGATCGCGGAATAAATATCACACTCGGGCATCGAAAGATTCGGCTTTTGAGTGAAGATACTTCAGACAATAATTCAGCTTTGATAAGCCTGAACGAGCGATCGGAATCCCTCGTTTATGAGAATGATCTCCGCACTCTGAATGACGGGCCGACGGGGTCCGCGACGATTTGCCCCACCTCATATCTCCGGCCTCATCAACCTAAACGAATTTACGCTCCCTCAGGAGCCTCGATGGACACAAACCAGGTTTTCTCGTTGTTGTGGTCGTCGTAGTGGTGGTGCTTGTGGTTGTCGTTGTTGTCGAGCTGGTTGTGGTCGACGACGGAGTTGTTGATAGGGGCTTGATCGCGTCGCCGTCATGGCCGTGGCCAGCGTGTTTCAGAGAGACGAGTTCGTTTTCATGCCGGGAGCGGGTTGTCAACCGAGAAACTGTATAGGCCGAGTGAGTAGTGAATCGGCAGAGCCGGCCGTTTGTACCACAGTCGAACAAGTAACACGCTCCGGAATTCTGTGGAAAAATGGAAAACTTTTTCATAAACTCAGAACTCTCCGTCAATCGGGAGTGAACCCTCACCCCGACCCGTGAGGAATCGACCAGGGAAGTCGATTATGGAATACGCACCTTTTCCTCGAAAACAGCGGCATTGCAATCCGAGAAATCGTAACAAAACAGGGAACACTCGGCACTGCTCCGCTTCTGACTTTCGTTCAGGTATCGGGCTCCAGCGTTGATCGAGTCCGCAGTCCGTATAATCGTATTCGGCTCGACTTCGAACGAGTCCAAGATCGACTGGATGTTATAGCTCCGGCTCGGCAGGAGCCCATAGGGGTTGAGTCTCTTCAATCGCTGCGATTCATCTGATGAGGACGAAGAGGAAGAGTTATACGCTCTGATCCTCATTTACGGAGCGGCGAATTCTCCTCGGAAATCGTTTTTCGGGATAGGAACGAGCGATTTCCAGAGCCGAAGGCAGCCGATATGAACGCCCACGATTCTTTTGATCACATGGAATCCCCTGAAGGGACGTAAGAGAGAGCCGTGCGCGGACCCGAGCCTTGTTTGCGTACAGGCTCGCCCAAAACGACACCGGTCTGAAAGGCTGCCGACGCGACGTGAAGTTCGCTAAGCGTGGCCGTTGAGATCACCACAAAGATCACCATTCTTTCTCTGCGCGAATATCCCACAATCCTTTGATTTCGCCATATGGAGTGGCGAGATGTCAATTGTGGATTGGCTGCGCATCATACGCAGCCGTTTGGGACTACGACTCGGAGCCACAAAGGAGGCTTCATAGCCCTCTCGTTCACTCCGAGAGCCGAGAACTCACCTTCTTGCGCGACAATTGGAGATGTTGCCAATGTTAGAACGAAGAAAAAAACCTTCATGTCTGCTTCATAGGGATCCTGTGGAACTACCGTCCAATGCCTACTGCCCTGTTGGGATGGAAGTGTATGGAGCGAAAGGACCGGCGGTGGCCGAGCCTTCGTCGGCGGAGGGCGAGATTCCGGCTCCCCTGCTCACAGCGGAGGGTAGAAGCGGCTGCGGTATTCTCCGCGACAAGCTGTACTTAACGAGCATGGGAAGAGAAAGCGGGGGCCGCTTCGGGAAAGTCGTAAGCGGAGAAACCGCACCAATGTTCCATATCCCAACGCGTTAGTGATCTTTGCACTGGGTACAATCCCGCAGCGCTAAGTATGTACCTATCCAGAGGTATACAATGATCAGTCCGTCAATAAGACATTTCTCGACACTAGTGATGGACCGCCTCCTGACCGTCTTACTGTAGCGTCGTTATCATGCATGCATCATAATCGCATTCTTATCGGCCCCGCATCACGAGCTCACGAAGGAGGCGGAGGGATCGCTTTTCGATTAATCATCGGTTGTGGTACCTACATACAATGAGTATTCACCTTTATACTCAGTTCCTAGATTCCCTCTCTTTTCTATCAATCACAGTAATTTGGTTACGACTTGCATCGGTCGGCCATCCTAGTGGAATGCTTCCTAGCCCCGGGCTCCTGGACCTTTCAGGTTTTTTCCTCGTTGGGTCTGGTTGAGTCTTTATGATTCGGCATTTGCAGCGGGTAGAGCCGAAAGCGGATTGGGCTGATTAAATCCTCCGCATTATCCCGGAGACCATCAACTCGTACGCCACCCCCTTCGGTTGTCTTTCGTAGATCGTAGAGCTTTCTATGATTTTCTCCATTCGCTCAATGTGTTCTTCGAGGCTTTCGACTTGCCTCCGCATGCGGACCACTCTAATGAATTTATTCTCCTCTCAATTTTCGATTCCCTTGTCTAGATCCGCGTTCTTCGTTATATCATCGAGTACCTGCTTGGATCGCATTCAACAAACTGTCACATAATTTAGAGACTGCCGACCACCATCTCACGTTTCGGAGACATCGCCTTATCCCAGCCCGATAAGGGAAGATCTACGGGCCTCCGTGAAGTCGCTTGGCACATGACGCCACGGACAGAGTCTTCGGAAGAAATCATCCGAACAGGAATCGACTAATGCCTGCCCTTTCCAGCGAAGCACTGGGTAATATCGTAATCGGATTCTACCGTTCTGGCATCGAGCGATGAATTAGAGGCGGCCTTCTCGTTCACAGCAGTAGATCCCGGAGGCGTCAAGGAGAGCGCGGCGACGGAGGTCGTGATCCCGGCTCCTTGAGAGTTTTCCCAGAGGAGGCCTCGCGGCTGTGCGAGGAAGAGCCCAAGCGTCGTACGGCTTCTCCTTCGTTCAGGATTGGGGCTGCTTGTCATTAAGAGGGAATTCTCAACCGTTGAGAGCGACTCTCGGAGGGTCTCGTCGACAGATCCGGCATTCGAGGCACTGAATGAATTCAAGAGAATGGGGCAATGGCGTGTAAGGTTATCTCTCTGGATTGTGGTATAAAGGACCTGAGCCTTCGACCTCGGCATCGTAACGAGTCGGGACGAGATCAAGCTTGGTCATTGTTCTCTCGACCGCGAGAGATTGGATGCCTGTATGCTCTCCTCGGGAATGACGGCTCTCTGGCTTTAGACAATCATTCGATGAGGATGCCTCGATACGGTGTATGCGGTTTCACGTCGACCGGCTCCGAGAGAACTACCCTCCGAGGAACGTCGAACCCTGAGGTCAGCTTTCAGCGTAGGCTTATCATGCGGCCGACCGGAAATTGCATCACAACGTTTAATCACCCCTCGCAGCCCTCCTTCGGCGGAGCTCGTCAGGGCGAATCCCACGATCTACAAGGCTCCTATCAGGACGCGAGAGCCGCACTGGAAAGCCCTCTCGAAATGTTCCAATGTCTGTTCTCCCGATTGGAATTCCTCGGCCCCATTCTGTCGTAATGTTTCGCCTAATCTCTGTATCGTATGGCAGAGGGGGTGACCGGAATGCGGATTTTGGATCAATTCCTCGTGTCCCGTTGCGAAGCTCGCTGTCGCGCTCTTTTCTTCGGGGACGTTTTTCAATAAAGGTGAGCTTCGCTCAATGCGGGACTGCTCCCCCGAGTTGCTATTTGCTCGAGGTCTATCCCAAACGGTCAACGCCGCGCCGCTGACTTGCATATTGTGTTGCGCGAAACTATTCGTTCGATACATCGACCACATCGGTATCTGATACGACGGTCCACCTTTTTTTTCGTAGATTTGCTCGTTTCCCCCGTTCCTAGGTCCATTCTGACCGAATCCCAGGTGACGCCGATATTGTGGGACCCGTCGACGGAGAACTCGCTCGCTGCCATCGTAAATACTTCGCGACTGCAGAATTGTCCGGAACGTCGTCCGGTGTAGGCGCGTCCCGTTGGTGGACTCGGGAACTCTCCGCCCATGCCCTATTCCATGGCACCGGTTTTCCGGCGCTCCCTCTCCGGGCACATATGCATATCATGTTGACTAGTGAATTCCAGGGTTACATTCTCGTGCAAAAAGGGTATCCGAGCTCTCTCTCGCGGAGCATCTCGCCCGTTTCCCTCTTCCTTGCCCCCGCTCCATCATGATGCACTGATTCGTGACCGAAGGTGTCGAGGAGCAAGCTTGGATCATGCTTCGAGATCGGGGGTCGGATCCCCTCGCTTGCCTCAGAACTTTTTCCGCTCGGGGTGGATCGGGAAACGGAGAGTAGTTCGTCGAGCGACAGCCTCCGGTGCGTCCCTATGTCGAAGGATTCAGGGTATGTATGATACTAATACTCACACGATCAGAATCATTCGCTAGAACTTCATCGTATCCTCTTTGCAGAATTGTCTCCCCTACAAAACCTGAAGGTTCCTCCTAAGACTGTCGGTCAAAGAATGCCGGCTCTTGGAAATAGTGGATCGACTCCATTGATTTGCATGAATCTATGTATGTAGAACTTATTTTGCCAGTGGGAACGATCGAATCTGTAGTTTCGCTCCGCGCGTAGCTTATGAGGCCGTCTCGGGAGTTGCATCACAACGAAGGAACTTCCCGCCAACCCCCAGGTCGGGGATGAAATCGCCGATGCAGATTGCTCGGTTGAGCAAGGTTTCCGTTGAGCTATCAGGACGCGTAAGCCCTACAAAAAGCTCTGTCGGATCAATCGAATGTTCTATCATCCAATGTCAACTCCTCTCTCTCGTTCCTAGCGGGAATTCTTCAAAGCCTTGGGGACTAAACTTCAATAAAGGTGAGTTCTGCTCAATGCGGAGCCTGTTCCCCGATACATCCCTCAGTGGAGGTCCATCACGGCGGTCAACGGCGCCGAGTAGTATATTGTGTCGTGCAAAACCATTCGCTCGATCCATTGTCAAAATGATCTGGGTGTCCAGGCAATTCCGCCTCGTTCGCTCATTGATCTCCTCGCTTTGTTTCCTCCCTCGCCCACATTGAATATTGGATGCCTTCGGAATCGGGGGATACCTCGACGATGGCAGCGTGGGTACCCCACGAGTATGACTTTTCGGAACTCACCCCAAGGTACATTCCACCAGAATCTTTCGGAACCGCCTCGTCTTTGTGGAATTTCCTGCTTCATGGATTGTGGAATTTTATGGCATTTGTTTTCCATGAAATCGTTCCTTACTCCAGTGACTTTGTTTTCTGCATTTCTGCCCGGATGAGCATAATTCCCTCCATCTCCCCCTGCATCTTCGAGACCTCATAACGGCTATCAGGGCTACGCAGAATCTTATTCCTCCCGATTAATAGACCGATGAAGTCGAACAGCGGGCCATGATTTTTTTCCAGCGCATGCAGGGCGTTACCTCCCGTGGCTCAGAAAGAATACCGAGTCGAGTGATTCCCATGATTTTCCTGCTATCCTATGCGGGGTAACCTCTGACGTCTTTGAAATAAGGCACCGTCCGGGCAAACTAGTCGGAATGCGCTCCCTAAGCGGAACCTCCGAGTTGAATTTCCGCGGCCTACGCAGAGTTCAAGGTTGTCGAGCGCGAGCCAGGGACCGGCGGGGGATTTTGCTTCTCGCTGAGAGAGTGTTGTGGCACCGGAGCGTCAAGTTGAACGTAGCTCCTCTCGACTTCAGTCTGGGAGCTGAGGATTTGTAAACGCATCCGTGCGGATTCAACCTGGGTCCGTGGGAAAATAATCACGATAGGAAGTCGTGGAGATGCAACGGAATGTTTGCTGATTCCCGCAGAAGAACTTCTGCTCCTCCGTCTTGACATGCGGGAGCCCTGATCTAAGCTCCCATGAAACGGAACGCAGGCTAACTCAGCTAGCGCGGAAAACAAATGGGTATCTGAAAATTTTCTCCGCATCCGAGTATTACAATGCTCATGAATCGTTCTGCGGTCTACAGCGGTGAGATCTTGCTCCAAGCACTCGTCGAAGTTCCCGAAGCACTTCTCATGAAATCAAACGCCAGAAAATCGAATTCCCAGAGCAGAAAGGAGGTCTGCTAGATCTCAGGAGGAGATCTGACGATTCGGGGAGCCGGATTCCACCTATTTTTTTTTTTGGTGTAGCAGCGCGCAAAGGGATAACCCTATAATTCTCAAAAGGAACTGCGAATGCGGTAAGGGGGAGGGGGACTGGGGGGAAGCTAGGAGGAAAAGGTGAAAGAGCCATAGGAAAAAATGCATTGACGCACTACCCAGAAGAGTGGAAAATTCAACCGGAGTGTGGGGCTCATGTACATAATACCCACTAAAAAAACCTATGGCTCTTTACCTGAAGGGAGAGAGCGGATAGTGTAGGATTTGAAGAGTTTCGGATCGTACGTTGGAGGGAAGGCATGAGGGGGAAGGCATTCCATAGACGGGATGTACGGGGGAAAAGGTGGAGGCGAATTGAGCAGTACGATTGGAGGAAAGTTGGACAGAGTAGGGATGCTGCTTGGTACTCTCTCTGGTTACACGGGCGGGGACCGGAAGGGGGAACGAGGGAAGAGATTTCATCTGAGCATTCT